GGATGTTAGAAAACCCCAATGTATAAAAAATTGATTAAAATATCGTAAATATTCAATCTTTATTATGCTTTTATTAAATTATTGGATACCCAAACTACTATTTCAATATTGATACCCAACATATAAAGAAAGGGAAGATTGAGTACACTCTAATTTAGAAGATGAACATGCATGCCTTACACTACAACACATAAGATCAAGGACAATAATGGGGAATTTAGATATTAGGTTGATTTTTCATTTAAATTAATATATATATATATATATATATATATATATATATATTGTTCTTTTTATTTTATGGTAAACCAACATGAAATATTACTGTCAAAGTTAGCTCATACATCTGTTTAGATTGACCTAACGTAGGAACATTTCTTTGGGATAAGCATCTCTATTTTTTTATATAAAAAAGCATATTATTGTTGTAAAGGTTCTCATCACTGTTCTTGTGATAGGTTAATCGTACCTTACTTTGATCACAATCCCATTTGATCACTCAATACTAGCTACCCTCCATTGCAAAAGTTATTCAAGGACAAAAAAGAAAGGCAAAAGGGAAAGATTTTCTTGGAATAACAAATTAATGGCACAACCATGATTTCCCTTTCTTAAGTATTATTATTCAACTTTTGGGTATTATTATGGAACTTTTTTAGTCTTTTCGCTATAAAGTCATAGTGGCGAGACCATTTAATCAAGAGCTACCATGAGTTCATTCACAAAGACATAAAGGTAGGAGTTAACAACTACGACGTTTTAAATTTAAATCTTGTTTAATGTTATTTGATGTTAGTGACTGAGTGTAATTGTACTTCTTTTAATCTTTGCAATCGAATTTCCAAGTAAATTTAAGATAAATAATTGGATTTTATAAATATCAATAAAGAATTTATTTATCGAAATCAATAGTTAATATATGCCTCTTATCATTACAAGTATAGTTTTAAGAGAGAAAAAAATAACGTACTTATTTATTTTTATATTGATTGAGTTGATGTCACGGATTAAATTGATATTAATTTAATTATAAAATTATTAAAATAACTCGTTTTATAAAAAAAAATTGTGGTAAGAGTATATTTTTACATTCTTCACATTTTTTTTATATTTGAACAAGCAATTAAGTTTTTCCATTTAAAAATTGAACATGAGAAGAATGATTTGTATGCAAATTTTACCACAGCAATTATATTGATTGCTCACTGATTTTTTAAATATTTTCAAATTATAATCATATAAAATTTTTAAAATTTTAATTATATTATTTTTAAATATAATTTTAATGATTTTTTTTTAAAAAATATTTCACCCACATGTATTTTTTTTATAAAGTTGTTGAAGAATCAGTATCAAAAATCAACTTTATATCAACTCCGTTAAAAAATAGTAAAAATAATCTTATTTATAAATATACTAACAAATTTATCTTAAAGATATATTGTCTGATAATTTATAAAAATATATAAAGAACGAGTAAAGTTCATTACTTGATACTTAAATTTATGAATAAAAATTCTTATTTTTAAATCATTTACCTATCTATAATTATTTATTTCATAATGTTATGTTGTCTATGTTTTTGAAAAATTTTAGTTTAAAATTTATTTAAATATATGTATTGTTTATCTATCTAAATATCTCGAAAACTAGTATATTTATCTCCTCATTGCACAATAAATGTATATCGTACAGTAAAAGATAAAACCCTTGACATGTAAAGATAAATCCCTTGATTACATGTTGAAAATCATAATTGGCGTGGAGAAAATAATATACACCGATTCTGATTGTCTTAAATTTAATCATGGCAAATAAAATATAAACCCAACCTTTAAAATTAGTAATTGCTAGAAATTACTCTAAGATTTGCTGTGCATGAACCATAACCATAACTAGCCACCAATAATTCTATAAGTTCTTGATTGTGTTGTTTAATTAGACTTAATGTTTACAATAGAAATTTAAAAATAATAATAATAAATTATAAACTACATTTACTTTTGTTCCTTTTGCCCCATTCAAACCAACAGCAAAAACTAGGATTTGTAACTTTTTCATTTTCAATTTTGCGTTTGAAAGTAAATTATAATTTTACCCTTATTAATGCATGGACTCCACTCAACTATGTATTTATTTTTATTTAATAATTTAATATTAACATCTTTAAAAAAAATATTATAGTTTAAAAATATTATTAATAAATATCTTAAATTTTTTATATTTTATTATAGTTTAAGTGTATATTTTTATATTATACTATTAATAATTGTAAATATAATTAAATTATATATTTTTAATTTAACATAATGTCTATAATGAATATTTTATTTTTTTTAAACTCACTTTTTAACAATAATCAAACAGTTAATTAACTACAATTTTAAACAACAATTTCAAAAAAATATTAGTACACTTCTAAAAGTCAATTCTACCAAAACTGACCCTTAGTTACATGTAAGGTACTTACGAATGAAAAACAATTAATAAATATGATTAAATTACAAGACTAAATCCACTAGTTCAATGTCTTATCCATCATCATGAAGTTGCTTTTCTTTTCTATGGAGAATGGTGTCATATATTAAACATCAGTCACCCAATATAACAAAGTACAGTTAAAACTCTATAAATTAATAATGTCAGGACCGGAAAAATTATTAATTTAGAGGTTATTAATTATCGATAAATTATAATTATTAATTTAAAGAGTTTTTAAGTAATTATATTGTACATACCAAACAAAAAGGTAAATTAGTCTATGTCTCTTAGAATTACGTTGCAAGAGATGAGTTAAATTAATAATGAGCTCCAAATAGACTTGAACTTTAAAGGAAAACAGACAACTATTGAATCATATTTCAATAGAGTGTAATATATTTTATTCAGTTTCTATGAATTATTAATTTATGATTTTCTTAGGACCGAAAATTATAAAGGATCTCACGAAAAATTATTATCTTATTTTTATCGAGTTTTTCAATTTTTTACATTGGCCCAAGTCGAGACCGGATAAATTTATTATTTTAGAGAGTTTATTAATTTACCGAGTATTAATTTAAAGAGTTTATACTGTATATCTATTTAGACTATATGAAGAATATACTAACATTATATTTAAACAAAAAGGCCAAAATTTGTAACATGGGCTGTATTAAATATGAATATGAAGAACTGATCGTATTATATATCAGTACCTTTAGAAAGATTGGAGGAAAGAGATTATAAAATTTAAGAAATATTTGGAAAGAAGTTCATAAGAAAAAAAAAAGTTGCTATACTACCTAAAGTTGCCATGTTTTCTTAGACTGGTTTCGTTGTTCATGGGAAGTGTTGTTGATGGAGTAATTAGTAGGAGCAGTGATGTCGAGAAAATCGGCATGAGAGAGAGCTCTAAGACCCAAGAAATCTCTGGTCAAGCCTTCACTCTGCTGAGTGGTAGAGTTTGTGGTCATTGGAGTAGTTGTTTTCGAGAAAGATTCGTCGATGGATCTCCCGTCGATCTTTGTGTTGAAGATGCCATCACCACCAAATACAATGTCATCGAAGGAATTAGTGGCGTCAAATCCAGTGGCAGAAGACAAAGAATTAATCATGTCTTGGAGAAGGGAAGGAGTAGCACCTGAGTCAGCATCATGATGATGATGATGGTCATATCCGCCTTCCATGGCAGCAGAAGCAGGTTTACAGTTCCCGAAAGGAGCAAAGCCATGGATAAATCCACCAGTACTAGTATCCACCACATCCCGTTCTTGTTCACGTGAAGGCAAGTCGAGTCTGAAACCAGCTGTTGTTTGTTGTGTTAGTGCCAGCAAAATCAGCAGACACGTGAGTTGGTTGGTGGGGTCTCATCAGCCAGCAACAGTAGAGCTACTGTTGGGCCCAATTTTACTGCTCATGATCGATCCCATATGAGCTGCTTTCTGAAGCAATGCAGTGGCTGACATGTGAGGGGATTGAGGGTATGGGGAGGGAGGGTGGGGACAAGACTAGGGTTAGGGCTGGCGTTCCCATCAAGTTTTAAATCTTGATGATCTAATCTGGGAGAATATTGATGGTAATGAGGAGGAAAGGTCTGTATGGTGCTGTGAGCCAGGACCAGCCCCCAGCATTGCTTGGCTAGCCAGCCATGGAGGAATCTCTGGCCTTAGAGGAGTGAAACTTTGCTGCTCTTTCTTAAGCGAAAATGCCTGGGGATTGGGTTGTGCTACTTGTAGATTAATGTGGGACGAGGCTTCGCCTGGTTGATAAGCGGAACAAGTGGATTGATTGCCCTTGAACTCTCCACTGCTAAAGCATCGCAGAAGGCTCTATGTGTGACGAAAACTATCCCTCCTGAAAAAATAAATAAATAATCATAGAGTGCTATGAGAATGGCAGAAATACTTTTCTTTTCCTCCTTTCTGCATCCCCTCCAGTTTATATCTCTCTTTCACTGTGAGAGCATAGGACAAACTGGCACTCGAGCTAGTGCAGAAAATAAAATTTCCATGTTTATTCCATCTCTAGGGTGTGAAAACTAGGAACTGCTAAATGTATATATTGCTATTACTTGTTTCAAAGTTATCTCGAGTGCACGCCATATAAATGAAGATTTGATTATTGTTGATGTGTTCATGGGAGGTAGAAATTTATTATACCTTGAGAAGAGGGTTTCCACAATCACACCTGTATTCCCTAGTGCCACAAGTCTTGGAGTGAGCTTTCCAATCCGATTGAACTGCATATTTCTTGGAACACTTTTCGCATTTCCACTTCTTCTCGCCGTGTTTCCTCGAGAAGTGTTTCTTGATTCCGGTCAAGTCTCCGAGCGCTCTCGACGGATCATGGTGCACACAGTTTACTTCTGGACATACGTATACCTTCTTCCTCACCTCTTTGTTTGTTCTTTGCTTTAACTTCCATGGCAGATTATGCCCTCTTCTATGAAGCTGAAGGTTTTGGTCTCTTTGGAACCCTTTGTTGCAGATCTCACACACGAATCTATTCGTCGCCATGGGTTTAGGAGACAACGCTATCACTTCTGCATCTGGTCTGATTCAAAAAAATAAAACCCACCGAGAAAAAAAAGTAGAAAAAAGTTCAAAAAGATGAAAAATTGTAAGTTAACAAACAAAAAAAAGTAATTAAAAAAAAAGAACGGTAGGTTTGAACCAAAACCCAAACCTGGGTTGCCTGGTAGGTTCCTCTTTCTTTTAACTGGCTGAGATTGAGCTTGAGCTTGAGCTTGAGGTTGTTGAGTGGTGATCAAGTATCGTTCTGGATAATTAGAACCAGCTTCGATTCTATTGCCTGAGGAAACACTGGCTTCACCGGATGCAGATGCCGAAGTCAAATTCGACATGTTCTCTTCGAAAACTTGTTTCTGCTGCTGTTGTTGGTGGAACAACAACCCTTTCATCTTCTTCTATCGAATGAACAAATGAACTAAACCGCCAAAATTTGCATATATACGAAAAGAGCAGCGTGCAAACAAAAATTCCATAGATAAAAAACCAAAACTAGGTGATAAAATAGAAAGAAATGGATACTTGAATAGCTAGGCTTAACATATATGAATGAATATATACAAGATCATCATGTTGGATTCAACCCAGACAGTGTTCTTTTGTTTTTAGAATATTCTCAGAAGAAACAATAGAGTAAGTAACGATATTATAACTCATGCGTATATAGAGCTTAAGCAGATACTCCATCTCATCCACTATTAAGCTTCAGGTTTTTTTATATAATAATCTAATAATAACCCACAAATTTTTAAACCGATCTCATGAAACGAGACAAAGAGAGAGTGGATGAGAAGAATTCCCTCTTCAATCCTCAAAGCTGTCCGAAAACAAGAACCCAAAACTACAAGCCAAGGGGGTGGGGAACCCTCTGATGCACATTCTGTCTTTTTCCTCTTTTCCCCTCATAATTAATTTTATATATTCGATGCATGGTACATAAATTACAGATTTTCATAAATTATACTGATATTAATCATTAATAAATTGCAAATAAATAACATAATTAATCATACTATTGCTTTGCTTACTAGGAAGGAAAATAAAATATAAATTAATTGATTGAGCCTGGGGGTAGTAGACCTTTTTCACATTTACAGTGAAATGATTGAACCATTGATTAAATATATCTAAGAGGCATGGCTAAAGTAAAGCTTATACCCTCTTACCTTTCTTTCTACATTTTTTTTTTCATGATCATCAAATAGTTTATATTTATGTTTAGATTGTGAAAGACTTAGCTGTTGCCTGTGACATTTTGCATGCTACAACTTTCTTATTTAGTAATAATAACCCCTTTGGTATATATATATAGTGTGGACCAAACTTCATCATAACTTAATTAGATTCTTAGGATTAAGTAGGGAAGTTTTTTTCTAATGAAAAATAAATTTTAATTATCATTATCAAAATTAAACGTAAATAATTAAGAAATTATTATTGTTTATTAAGATCTTAATTTTAAATACGATGTCTATAGAAATATATGAGTATCCATTACACAGGATTAAAAAAACCTTTTGAATATATATTATCTTTTTGTAACTTAGACTATTATTCCCCTCACCTAATAATGAGAAATAAACAGAATAAATTTATCTTTTTAAATTTCTTGTTCTTTTCTTCAAAGAGTTGGAAACATGGTTTTTAGAACCGGACCGGTTAGCGAACCGGTCATGCTATTGGTTTACTGGTTTAACCGGTCGAATCGGTCCGATCGATTGGAAGAACCAGACGACGTCATAATTATTTAAAAAATTAAATAAAAATACCAAAAATATTTAATAAAAAATAATTTTTTATATCACAAGTCATATTCAAACCAAGTCATAAGATATATAAGTTAAAAACTATAAAATCAAGTGAAACAAAATTATTCAAATTAACTACAACATAATATTTAAGGTAAAACATATTAAATAATAAATATAATTATATAACTATAATTAAAAAATAAATTTGGGGCTAAAAAAATATAACAAAATGATATTGTTTGGTTTTTTTTTTTTTTTTTTTAAACAATCACACATGGCTAAGAAACATAGAAGAGCATCCCAAAAGTCTAAAGAGTAAAAATATGAGAACAAAACAATCTCACATGGCTAAGAAACATAGAAGAACATCCCAACTAACTTCTATAAATAATAGAGATAATTTGGCATTCAAAATCATGGAGCCTTTTGGTGAGCATTGAGTGAACTATTCTTTCACTTCAATCAAGCTTGAATTTTAGGCTTCAATCGAGCTTCTAATTTTTTTTTTCAGTTCAAGCCTTTTCAAGTTCAAGTTTCAATATTATATTTCGAGTTCGAGTTGAACTTGATAATTTTTAGCTCGTGAGTTTGAGTCGAGTTGAGCTTACTTTTAAAGTTTTCAAGTTCGAGTCGAGCTCAGCAATACTGGAGTTCGACTTGGCTCGTTTAACAAACGACGTTGTTTGGTTTAATTAAAAAAAATTGACGGTTTTTTCCGGTTTTTAGCTGGTCCGATTCGAACGGTTCAACGGTTTCGGCCGGTTCACTAGTAATGGTTCAACCGGTGTAGATTGAACCGGACTAGACAGAGACTCCTAGTTGAACCAGTTGAACCAACCGGTCCGGTCCGATTTTCAAAACAAGAATTTGAAAGTTGAAATGAGATTTTGGTGGATCCAAGTCTGGAATTAAAAATTAGAATATGCTTCAAATTAAACCCGTTATTCCCTGTGGGACAGTGCCTCTAAAAAAGAACAAAAAGGATAAGAACAAATCCAAGGCCGAAAAAGGCACTCTAATAGTGAAAAAGCCATTGTTGAAGTTGACTACCTCATCCTTGGGAAACTTATTTGCCCTCTTACATCCACTTTGTCAAATTCTAAAACATATACTAGCAACTAAATTAATTGGTATATATCAATGTTTCTTGACATGAAACTTAAAATTTAATTGAAAATGGATTAAGTATAAATAAAATTGAATAACAGTGTGTATCAACAAACTGTTTTTAATTTTAAAAAATTTAGAATTGAGAAAAAATAACTCAATTCAAACAATTCAGTCCGTATATATCAGCTACTTCAATTTTAAAATGGTACTAAAAAAGTTTGAATCTCCTTCCGAATTTTCAAATTGTAATTTCTTTTACATTAAAAACAATAATTAATTTAAAGCTTATGGGTGCTAATGTTTGATATTTAGCTTAAATCAAGGTTGTTTAAGTGTACAGGCCGCTTATTTTGATTTGATTTGTCAACAAACCAAGGACATTTGCCAGCCTAAAAGTAAAGCAAATTATTATTATATTTAATTACTTAATATTTCCTATGTTTCATCAATATTATTTTTATTGATTTTGATCTTAAAAGTTTAATAAAATAAATAAATTTATTAAGATAGAAGAAACATTACGTTGATGAATATATCATTTATCATTCATGTTTGAGTGTATATGTATATATATATATATATATTGGTAAATCATGTTTAGTATATATTAATACATGAGTTACTATCATTAAAATATTTATCAATTAAATTTATATGGAATTTGAATTTTTTTTATGTTAGTTGTTTATTTTACTGAATATATCTATTAAAAAATATATTTATGCTCATCTCATTCAAAATAAAATTTGTTATTAATAAATATGTGTACACCCTTAAAATATCTCCGGATCTGTCACTGAATAGTAACAACATTATTTGGATAAAAAAATAATGACATTATTTTAGTTCTAATTAACATTGTATTCTAAAACAATATTCATTTTTTTCTTACGATAAAAATGAAATGTATTTCATTATTTTCAAAGAAGTTTTTTATATGATAAATAATTTTTTTTTTGGAAAAATCAAATTTTATATGTAGCAAATTATCAAACGAGAATATCTAATAAAATGCGATCCGAAAGGCCTCAAATAATACAAAGAGAATTATTAACAAATCCTACCCTAATAAACTTTTTAACGTAAAGTTTAGATTGGAACGTGACTTTTATCAAATTAACAATGTCCTCCTCGCTTCTTACCGAGTTGCTACAGATCCGTGATTTCGCTCCTCCTACTACACAAACGCACTTCACGCCATCTTAAGGGTGAGGAGAAAACGATTAAATTAAGTGTTTTTATTTACGAATGATTAAATTAATGTTAGAGACTGATCAAATATTGCTATTTGAAGGTAAACGAGACTCTCCCGATCGTTTAACAGCTTGACCTAACTCCTCTCAATCTGTTCGACCTCGTGAGTTAGTAGTCACTCGTATGACTCGTAAACCTTATTATTACATAGATTAAAAATGTTATTCCAATAGTAACCCATTTTTATTATAAAGGGTAAACTACTCCAATGGTCACTAATGTTTGGGTAATTTTTCGTTTTCACCACTGATGTTTCAAAAGTTACAAATCGGTCACTAAAGTTATCATTTGTTACAAATTGGCCACTCGCCGTTAATAGGCGTGACAGAAAACACATGTAGCCTGTTAACAGTAGTTAACAGGTTTACATGAATGGTATAATTACACAAATAGTTAATGTTATTTATATATTCTTTCAATTTGATCCTAGTTTTAATAAATTACAATATATTTATTTTTAATTCTTATAAATAATGATATATTTTTATACAAAATAATTAAATGTTTAAGTCCAACAGCTTTAAAAAAGGAAATAAAAAATTAGTTATAAAAACAAAAAAAACTCGTCATTAATGTTTTTTCACTTCATTTTTTTCTTCCCCAAACTTTTTTATTTTTTAAATAAATACTAATATTAAAATATTGATTGTGAAGAAAAAAATTTCACTCGGAGCATAAAACTTTATAAAATTAATTTTATTAAGTCTTTCATTTTCTGAACAGTCTTATAATTTAATTTGTCATTACATCTTTTAAATTTAATTTTATCACAACATAAATTGTAAATTTAGTTATTATTATTGATATGATGAAAAATTAATAAGCACATAGTTATTGAAATTGTTTTGAAGCCCCTCCATCTTCCATGATCCAAGAATAAAAAACTTAATTTCCAAGTAAATTTTTGTCCAAAATTTTAATTTAATATTACTTGAAGTGATCTGAAAATATAAAATTTTAATATTCAAGCTAATAATAATATACCAGACAAAAGTTCCATAACATAAAATGATAAATTTGTGAATGCACATTTATGTATTTCCCAAAAAGATATTATAGCGAAGCACGAGGAAATATAGGAATACCAATAATGTTAAGGGGCTATCAATAAGACATCATAAATCTATTTATGAAATATTTACAAACATTAGAAATCGAAATCCCTATGGCTTTTTTGCAGATAGAAGCAAGCAGAGCTCCAAAATGAATTAACTATAGGCACCAATTTCCACTGCCTAATGAATTCATCGTGATTAAAGAAAATGCGGTTGTATCATTAGATATAACACGAGCTAAAAATTTGCTTTTCCTCAGGCAGAAGCT